TTTTTTGAATCCAAAAACCAATCTTCACCCGGAATGCCGTTTTTAAAAGGATTTTTGATGATATTTTTGTTGACGTAATCTCCAACAAGTTCCAAAATTTTCTGTTCTCGATAACCCAAAGCCATATTTCTCCATTTCATGTAAGTTTTTGCCAATTTTTTTTCTATCTCTTCAGGAATAACATTACTTCTCCCTAAAGATTTTGATTTTAACTGCCCTATCTGTCTTACGAAGATAATTTCGTACCATTTTGTCCGTCGTCGTCTGTAAAGAATAAACGATTTTACTTTATCTCTCTTAATATTTCCTACCTAAACGATGGATCATCTTTGTTTTTTTTATTCTGCTAGTTGGCAATTTAACATTTATCTCTTATTTTTCAAGACATTTTTATTCATATCTGAGAACATCACGGAGTAAGAACAAAGAGGAGATGTCATAATTAGATTTCCCTAAGAAACACCGCGTGATATTTTGCGGGGTGAGGGGGTATTAGACTCCGCCCACTTTTTTATTTGCCATCTGCCGGTCTATAGCAATACTACTTGCTCATTCAATTTACTTCTTTTTGTAGTTATGTAACTACTTCACAATAGATGTCACTTACGCAACAGGGTCGTACTTAGAATTTACCGGGTAGTTGTTTTAAAAAGTTTTTTGTAAATACATTTGCGAATCATCTTGATACGCATTTTTATCGAAATAGTAAATATCTAAAATATCTATTATTGGTGAATGAGAATTATTCTACATATATCAAAACCATCTTTTTCATTTAAAAGGGGTTAGTTCGTTATGGGCGTAGCCTGAAGCAGAAACTCGTATACAATGCTACCAAGAGGCTGATGCCCTGCTGATAGCTGGTTCTTTGTGATAACTAGTGTGTTAGATATGCCATACTTTACTAATGTGTAACTTGGAACGGCATATGCGTTTAGACTGGTGCCATCTTCAAACATTCAGGGATGCGTCGACGAATTAAAAGGCTCCAAGTGTATCTTCATAGGTCTTGAAGGGACAAGGCCTCTATCTACGATAAAACTACTAGCGACCCGGTACGTGCTTCACTACGTTCAAGTATATCATAAAATATAATAAAAAATATATTATTATGTTCATTTAACAAAAAAAAAAATGTTATCGTTTGCTATGTAAAACTCTAAACGAGTCAAAAGATATATTATTGAAAATTAATGGCATTGATATAAATGTTCTTCGGTGATATTGTCTGATAGTGTGTTCTGTGAACTAGGTAATCATTTCTGCAATTCTGAGGAATATTCGGAAAAACACATTCAATCAACTCATCTATAGATTGCGCAATTGTATAAAAAATATTCGGTAAAATGACGGATCCGTCGGTACTGTCGATAGGTATTTGCTATCACCAATCCAAACTAATATTATAAATGCGAAAGTAACTCTGTCTGTCTTTTCTTCACGCCTAAACTACTGAACCTATTTGAGTGAAATTTGGTACAGACATAGTTTGGAACTCGAGAAAGGACATAGGATAGTTTTTAAACCCAAAATCTACAGGAAGTCACTATTCCACGCGAACAAAGTCGCGGGCAAAAGCTAGTTTCTAATAATAATTGTTTTGAAAACTCATGGGCAGTTGCATCATTACGTAGCTAAATACGCATTATTACTAAAGTTAATAAAATTCTGTCAATTTTCGTATATATCTCCAAATAACTGATTACTTCGAACAGGTTTTTTATCAGCAGGAGTTGATCGAGGAATGACAGGCAATGTTTGACGAAAGCCCCCTGACAGCAATATCAGAGCACCACGAAAAACCTGTTGAGTACCGCGTAAATTTTGCATGGTTCGATTAAATGCTTCTATTGATTTTTTATTCGCCATTGTATGAGTGCACCCCATAAAATAATTGACGTTAGTTGCAAAACTTTTGCCACAGCAAAATTTCTCGAAATATTACAAGTTGCAATTTAAATCACCTGTACATTCAATAGCAATGCTAATGAAGAGTGTGCGGTCCTAGCACCTTCTAATAATGTAACAGCAATCGTCTTAATTTGCATTACAGGTTCGCCGGTTTTACCTCAACAATATTTTGGATCATAAAAACACAAAACAATAACTCAACAATATTTTGGAACAATAACGAACATTACATCTAATTAACTAGTGGTATGTTTAATGCTATTCCAAAGTTAATAATACCGCCATATTCTTCATATAACACATCCTAATTATCTTCACGACTGTCATAGGTACTATTTACCATGAAAAACGAACAAAACCTGCCCTAATGTGACGACATATTTCGAAATAAACGAATAATGGAACAAAAAGATATGTACAAAGGACAGAGTATGTTGTGGGTATTTCATAGGCTTACCGGCGATACATATTAGAGTTGTATGATCCAAGTCCTGATGCCTTTAATTTGGGGTTGAAATAAAAACCGAAGAGGAACTTTAGAAGTATAAATAAGGTCGTTCAGTTTCAAACACCCAGGCACTAAGATTTAGCACTCACAGCGTGCGGTCAGGTGCGCTAAATTTGAGTGATTCCATTCGCGACTTAAATAAATCAACGATACCTATAAACCTTAAAAAGTAATTGACTCCTAATTACTGCCCTGTCTTTATTTATGTTTTACTACTTGACAATAGATGGCAGTCTGTTTATAAAATAATATAAAAGTTACATAAATAATATTTTGGCGATTAAAGGATCTTTAGGAATGCATATCGATCAAATTACTATACAAACGATCATTAAAATATACTGATACTGAACTATGCGTACCTATGAAAAATTTGTTTCTATGATACAAAGTGTCGACATCTAGTGTCGCGTAGATTGATAATTGGAAACGCTGAAAATAAGAGACTTTGCTAGAACTATTTTAATAAATGACGAATAAAATAACTTATACATGAAAAGTGATGCCATCCATAGCACCGTAACATTTATCATAGTATTTTTTACAAGATAAAACACAAGACTTCATTTTGTTTTCGTCTGTCACGAGTAAAACGAATATTTTATAGGAGTTGTGCACAGGACGAACGACCATATTACAATGACGTAAGCCACGCCCACATTGATGACGTGAGGGCCGACTTGTGTCACAGGGCCGAGTTGTTTAGGCCGTCTCCTCTTTGTTCTTACTCCGTGGAGAACATCATTAGTACCTATTTACCATCCAAGAGTACCCAATGAAACCCAACCCAATGAAAAATATCCTTAATGAAAATGTTGCTTACAACTGACTTGGGGAAAGACTAACATAATGTTTGTCTTACCCCGGGCGAACTGGTAGTCTTCCCCCACTTTGATAGTTGTAGGTTATGTTTTGGTTTGGTAAAATATTAGAAAAAGTCGTATGTTTAATATTAAAATAATACAATAACTTAAAAGACAATATTAATATGATGCTACTTACGTTCAATACTCTTCCATTTAACGTTTTTTTTTACCAAAATTTTGAAGAATTCCGGAAGCTCTGCCAAGTGCAACAAATTTATTTCACAACTGACATTTTCGTTTTGTTATGTTGGCGACATTGACGATCAGAAGTGCCATCTATGTTTTAAATCGAGAACTTTGTCAAATGAACTGTTTTATCGACATGGCAAATTTAAAAAAAAGGCGGTGGTTTTCGAGATATTTGATAGTGATAGTCATGCCCCGCTGTTAGTGTTACCCCACCTTACCTTATTTTGTTTCTGAGTGTCTGCCTCTCATGTTTAAATTGTTTCGTTGATGTGCAAGTTAAATTACCTGTAAATAAATTTCATTAAAGTTGCAATAATTATTCTTAATACACGATTAGGTACTTACTTAACAAATCAGGACAGGTATTTAATATATCCTAATCTGGTAATAGTTACAATATTCTGACTAGCTAGTATGGGCACTATAAAAGTATTTTAAGATCAAAAACTTACATTTTTATTGGCTACATTCTGTCTCGTAGTTCTTTTTAATTCCAATAGGCTATGATTAGTTGTTTTTGGCTTCGAGGCACTTCTGCATTACTGTAGAATTCATTCGTTGTGGTTTCCCGAGCTTCATTTTTATGAATAGTAGAAATAGCATTTGTGCACTGATTATCAATTATGTGCTTGTCTCTGTAATAAAACATGGTGCGTATTATACATCAGTCTTGGCTGCAGCGCGGGATGTGAAGTATAAACAAAGATATTTAATACTTTTAAACAACAATAGGTTTATAAAACGCAATAGGTAAAAATATATGTTTATACTTATACTTACACCTGAACTGGTTCTAAAAGAACATGCCTTTCCCTTTCGATGAAATTCTTCCCTCGTTATGCCATTTTAAGGAAGTTTAGTTAGCATTTTATTGAAATTGTAACTTGATATTTAAATTTCGCAGAATTGTTTGACATCAATGACAGTCCGTAATTTTTTTAATATTAACATATCTGACAGTTAAGAATGAACTATTGAACAAAAAAGAGCAGTGTGGCTATGATTAAAAATAAATCCCATGTCAAATCAAAATAATCATAGATTAGTTAATTATGCCCTGATCAACGTTTCAGAAACTCAAATTGATTTGACAGTCATGTCAAATTAATCGCAGTGTTAGTTGATCGAAGAATTGACAAGCCTTTCAGAAACTGGGTGTCAAACTTGATGCAAATGACAAGTGCTTGAATTGTAACGTCTTATGTGACATTAGTCACATAGTGTTGGTATGCAGTGACTACAACATGCAAAGGTTGATTTTAGCCAGTGAACTAAGTGAAATTGTAGATAATGTTTCCTCCCGCCGCCTAGAAGATCTACTACGTGATCCAAAGTGTTTAGTGCCGTTATACAATTTCATTAAAAATACTCTGGAAAGTATATAATAACATAAAACCGAGTAAATTAAAAGACTTGGCTTAAAGGACTCGTATCCAGGCCATAAACTCCAAAAAAAAAAAATGTCATAAATGTCAAAATCAGCAAGATCGCTTCCATGAAGGAATGCTTCTCCGACTTTGACTAATTTAGTTAGAATCAGTTGGAATCTGTGCATCGCTGGCTATTTTAGGTGCTGGTTAGAAGTAGACTTATTTATTTTGCACTTTGCGTTGGTTATTTACACATTACACTTACTTGGTCTTACATTGATAGCTATCATAATTGATTAGTTGTATTACTTTTTGTGAAGTTATAAATTTTACAATTTCTAATAAGGTACTAATACAGACTTCTCTTCACAGTCAGAATAAAATTGTAAGTTTTAAATTATTGTTTATCTTTTATTTAAACCTGGCCGTAACATAATTTGGTCAGTGGGTCATCTTAGGGGTGGTTTGATGAAGAAATTAGAGAACCTTTCTAAGCAAAGTGCAAAAAGTAAACACTTATGAGATTACTGTTTGTTTGTTTTGTTTTATAATTGTTGCTTTTACTCCTAAGATTGGGCTACTTACTATGTACTTAATTACCGATATTAATTTATATGTGTGTGGGTACCTTATCCTATTAAGTAGTATTTTTTCTTTTTCAGTAAAAATGTCTGATGAAATTGACATAGAAGAACATGATATTCTGAATGATCCATCCATAAAAAATATATTTCCAGACCTGTCTGTGGTAAAAAAAGAATTAAATGAGTACTATGCAGAAGGTATGTTAATTTTGGTTTGCAAAACAATACTTTTGTTCTCTTTTTATAATTTAATTTAAATGTAATGCAAGAATTAATAAGTGCACTCAGTTGAACCTTTAAGCTGTAGGCCTTTAGACTTTGTTTGAATTAAATTAAGATTATTTAAAAAATGCTTCTTCAAGATTGCTTATTGGCTATCTCATTTTAAGTTCTTTGTCATACAGTTACACAGTTTGTAACTGGTATCAAACCACACAACAGTTGGACATCTACTTCCAATAGAGTAAATGTGTTGGGCAAGTTAACTAAACTTTTGTGACATTTGTTGACACAATGTTACTACGCTACTACACTATACTACTATGCTAAACCCAATAGCTTAAGCCTTTCAATAGCTTCTGAAATAAAGATGAACTGTGAATGATTTAATTTAATACCAAAAGGCAAATTGGCTACAAAGTACAAAAGGAATTTTGAACAAAAATACAATAATTTACTTTTATTTTCAGAAAAGAATGTATGTGAAGACACTCAATTAAAAAAAGCTGTCATCAAAAAAGAACAACAGGCAACACATAGTACAAACAATAATGTACCAGATATTGCAAATCCTTCACAAGGTGTAGATTATGAACAAGAAAAAGTTGTTATTAAAAAGGAGGTAGATACATCACAAAGCCTAATATACAATAATGAACTAGATATTGCAAAAACTTTACAAGCAACTGAAAATGATATGGGCCTAAGAAAATTTAATGAAAATATAATTGTTCTTGGATCAAAACCTACCACAAAATGTGACAATAAAAAAAGTGATGGTATAGATAAAGTAGCAAAGTTGCAGTTAAAGAAAATAGATAGCTTTTTGGGATCGTGTAAAAGGTACTGTAAGGAATGCCAAATATTGTTTCCAAAAGCAAATTTATTTAATCTCCACAAGATTAATAGACATAGAAAACGAGAGCTAATTAGGGTCAATACACAACGGCTTCATGAAACACCAAAACGGGTAGAAATGAATGATAGTTCCAGCAAAATGTCTGTGGACCAACATCCTCAAGGAGATGACTCCACAGAGCTGTCTTGTTTCCATTGTAAACAAATATTTCCAAATAAATCTTGTCTGATCGAGCATCTTTATAAAGTTTTGGAACCTAATGAAATAAATAGCAATAACAGTCCAACAGCTTCAAGTACTAATGACAAAAATAATGATGAGAAATATTCCAGCAGTCAGTCCCTTGATGAGTCTGAAAATAATTTGGAAAAATCAGACACCAAACGACTGAAGACAAAACAAGTAAAAGATAAGAATAAACATACAATAAACAAAACCAACAAGAACACATTGCCGCTGAGGGTAGTTCAGGACAGAAAAGTAATAAATAAGAATAATGCAGAAGACAATGTTAGAAAGAAAGGATGTGTAGATGATAGTTCTGTTGAAATAGACGATGGGTTATTTTACAAGTGTTTCATATGTTCCAAATACAATGTTACTTTTAAACACTATTCACGGCATATAATAACAGATCACAACATACAGCCACCAATGAAAGTAAAAAAAGTACTTTTTGATCCAAAGTGCAAGTTCTGTTCATCGAAAATTATAAATATGAAGTATTATAATGTACATTTATATAAGTGTCACAAACAGCAACTAAAAGGTGTAAACTTTCGCCCTGATAAAAATAAAGTTCGAAGAAAAAGTGATATGTTTGCACTAAAAAGTGTAGTGTTTAAATGTATGAAATGCAGATTATTTTTCTTATCATCAAATGCAGCGACAAACCATTCAATACACAGATTAAGTAATGCTACAAAGTGTTCAAAATGTCAAAGATCTTTTAATAGTGAATATATGGCACTTCATAAGGACCAACATTCACTATCGGAAACTTTAACTGTACACACACTTTCGAAATCAGCATCTAATTCAATATTATACAAGTGTTCAGGTTGCGCTATACATTACAGTGAAGAATCGTTTTTGGAACATAACCCAAAATGTCATTCTGACACACCAAACTCCTCGAACTGCAAAATATGTGACATTCGTATAAATAGCAATGACTTGAAAGTTCATAATTTGAATCACAAAAAACGTAAAATGGTATATACTGATTTTATAATAATAGAATCTGAGATCATAGCCAATAAGGCTCCAAAACTTAAAAAGGATACTAAAAAGCCGCAAATGTTGTTTTGTAAGACTTGCGATTGTTTTATGGTCAAAACTAATATTTTGCATTGGGAAGAAAAATGTAGCCATTTGAAAAAGACGATATGCAAAGATTGTGGGCTTGTAATGACAAGTAGTTCTCACGTTATACATAAAAAAGCTCACAAAAACAAATATATGAATCTGTATGATTTTACATTTATTGATATTAAATCAAAAAAACTAATTACTCCACCGATACCTGTCTATCCTAAATGCAACACTTGTGATGTACACTTTTTAAGAAAATCCGCCATACAAACACATACATGTCATGAACAAAATTACATAACTTGCAGCCTCTGTTCCATAAAATTGACAGAGCATGCTTACAAATTGCATATGCCTTTTCATAGCTATTCGAAACCGGATACCATTCGAAGTCTGGAAAACACTGTGAGCTTGTGATATTCAAGTAATGCCAAATCTGTTGGCATAAATTTGGTTCGAAATCTGCATACCACCAACAGTAAAGCCACTAATGTACTGTTCAGACAATTGGTAATATATAATTATTATAAGACAGTGCATTTAGACTTAATCTTTGGTTTGCAGACCTTGGAATGCATTGCAAATTGGTTAACTGGTCATATAATATAATATGTATTTTTAATTCTAGTTATACTTTTTTAATGAGTCTTTAAAATACTTGTGCTTCCTCTTAATATATATTTTATTTTATAGTACATATATACATAGGTTTTAGGGCTGCTCAAGTCTGTATAAAAATAATAAAATAACATATAATAATTATAAATTATAAAATATTGCAATAATGCTTATTTTACAATTCTGGAGCCTCAATTCGAGCACAAGCTCACAGAGAGCTAGTATATCATGTGACAGAAAATAAAAGTTATTTCTCTTGTCATAGTAAAATAATATTTATTTGTACTTTACAACAACTCATTTGTGTTGCTGCCGTGAAGCGGAGCTACCAATTGCAACTTTGATTCATTCAAAGTTACAATACACTGATAGATAGTTACAATGTTCCTGAGTGCTATAGGCTATAACCATCACGCTACGATCAAATGGAGCCGAGCAGCGGGTGAAACCGCGCGAAAGTAGCTAGTTTTAAATGTAATACATATTGTCTTTATTTGTTGTATATTGATCTGGGTTCTTGTCTACAACGACAAAAATAAGTGACCGAGTCTATAAAAAAATTGTCATAACGTTAAAACTTTTCTTTTGTATTTTGTACCTTCTTTTGTAGTGTGCTTTCTTTTCATATATTATTTTTAAATGATAATGTAATAAACTGAGTACCACGAGTAAATTCAAAAGCAGAAAAATAGGTAATTTATATGAAAACTGCCAATCATTGTTATTGTATTGTAAAAATATTTAAAATAAACGTATTATATTTTTGTAATCTGTGTTTTTTGTGCTATCGCACCTACCCAGTCATTGAATACAAGAGCAATAAATTATAACAGTCTCCCGCCTATTTATGTAAGAGGTGTGTTGCTGTTATGCAGCAAGATCCACCACATCACATTGATAACTGCTAGAAAGTATAATAATAATTATGCCTGACGGAGAGATAGGAGAGATGTTAGATTTAGAAAAGAGTCGAGTGAAATTTTTATTTGCTGTGTAAATAGATATTGTGCTGGGTTGAGTTTAGAACCTTTACAAATTCAACTAATAAACATAAGGTAAAAATACGATACATAGGTGTTACTTTCTTCATAATGCACTGTGGCCCCATCCTACCTGATGACATTTTCCGTATTTAGAAATTAGTCTGTCTGATTGATGAGATTTTATATTGTATTTTATAGTATTTTTAGGTAGAATACCTACGTTTGGAAGCCATCATATGACTCGGTCTATTAAATAAAACTAGAAAGCCAATGTTGCATTTAAGATAAATAAAAAGATAACGGGAAAATATAACAGCAATATGTGTCAAAGTCAAATTTTCCTGTTGTCAAGTCAAGTGTCAACATTATAGTTTGGCAATCACTTATCAAAACTTTATTTGTAAATGATATTTTACAAATCTTGTAGTTTCTATTAATTATTTAACTTTAAAGTAACCAAAAATTAATATCAATTATGTCATGAGACAAAAGCGATATAATTATGTTATAGTAAATAAATATATTTAAGTATTCCTGTAAGAGTGAAAAGATCAAAATCTATCAAAATGTATTTTTACGAACGGTTTTGCCAGTGGCTCGGGCATTTAAAGTTATCCCGTGTTATATTATTAGTGACAGTAATATTATTTGTAGTGCCCCTGTTCACGCATTATTATTTATCTAAAGTAAGTTTCCGTTTATTTGCTTTTCCAATCTTTTGTGGTTAGGACTTTAGGAGTGGACATTACTGGAGGAACTTAATAATTTATAAATTTAAAATTACATATAATGATGTTATATAAGCTTTCTTTTCTGGATGAAGATATTTTTGAGATATAAATACAAAAGTGATGCACAGATTAAAAGATTAAAGAAAGATATTTTCTTATGTTTCATCTGCAACTAGATATTGTAACTTTCTCTTAAAAAACTGCATCAACAGGAGTGCAACATCCATATAATTTGTACATGCATCTACAAAAATAAAAACAATCACAGTCAAAATATCAAATAATATATTATTATGTAAATAAGTACTTTTAACAAGAAAGTAAGTATAATAAGTATTTTTAAAACAATATTATTTTTCAGTATGATGAGACTGGCACACTATCTAGTAATCCAATGCGTCACACTCTGGAGGCTTTGGGGGATGTTTCAACAATGAATGCAGCTGATCTGAAACTTAGAATTGAGGAAATGCTACGAATAAAGGTATTTTTTTTTTATTTTCAATATTTTATTTTGTTTTACTTTCCAATTCTGGCAAAATGAGACACAAAAAAATAACAGGTGTGCCCAGATGGCTTTGCCTTTTGGGTTTGATGAAGAATAATATATTTAATCAAATATAGCATAGTGAAATAAAATGGTTTCATTTCAATTCATTATTGATGGCTATATTAAGTCTTGAGTGGCTTTTATGAGCACAGATTTGCATATGAAATAAAAACCACATACATATAACTGTTCACTTAATGAATATTCCAAAAATGTGTTAAATACATTTTTAAGACCATAACTACGAGCATATTATTTTAAAATAAAAAAATATTTGAGTATCAAGTTTCATTAAAACAAATTTCGGACTTGAAAGAGTTAAGGAAACCACATAAAGACTCATAAGAACCTGACAAACATAGACTACTATAGTACACAATATTTATTTTATATGTTTATTAATGTGTACCACAGTAATTGGCTAGTTTGAAAATCACCAATCAATAAATCATAATAAACAAATATTAAGGTTTGTTACAGTTAAAATTTTTCTATTCACGTAATTTATTACGGCATTTTAGGCTTCAGTTTCTACGGAGTTACGTGAACTGGAAGCAAAACGCGGGCGCTTGCAGCGTGAGGCGGCGGCGGCGAGCGCGAAGGCCGACAGCGCCAAGGCAGAGCACGCGCGCGCCGCCGCCGAGCTGCAGCGCCTGCGCGTGTCCGCCGACCAGGCTCGCATCGCACAGCTAGAGGCTATTCGACGAGACTCGCCGGAACTAGCGCCCCCACTTCAAATATTACCGTCAAGACCACCACCCATATTACCACCCATAGCATCCTCTTCTGAAGTCCACTGCCGCATGTTTTCATGCTTCGACCACTCCCGCTGCTCCTTGACATCTGGTTTCCCCGTCTATCTCTACGACCCAGATGTGTTTGTGCCTCTTGCTGGCGCTGAGGTGGACGGCTTCCTCAAGACGACGCTCAAGCAAACCCTAGGCTACAACACCCACATTACGCGCGATCCTAACGAAGCCTGTGTCTACCTGGTCATTGTGGGCGAGGCTTTTCCATTTGTTAAGACTCCCGCGTAAGTCATGATTTTCTTACATATACTTACATACCTTATGTTTCTTACTTCTTATTAATAATATGATTTGTTTGTAGGCCAACACCGGATACGTACAAGCTCCTTTTGAACGAGACTGCAATCAAAAGCTTGCCATACTGGGGTGGCGACGGTCGGAACCATGTGTTAGTGAATATGGCGCGGAGGGAGCTATCAGTCGGCTCGGGCGACGCTTTTCGAGGAGCGTCGATTGGCCGAGCCATGGTCGCACAGTCCACCTTTACACACGAACAGTTCCGGCCAGGGTTTGACATCGTCATGCCGCCTGCGCTCGGTCCTCCCGGAGGCGACGTGTGGGCCGACTGCGCTCCTATCGCGCCTGCAAGGCGGAAATATTTGCTAAGGTACCTACACGTTTACAATTAATATGCATGAAAGTGAAATTTATCCATGACTAAACTTGGTCTGTTTGTGATAAGTCGACATTCCGTGATCTAAGATGATTAGCGTTATCTTTCTCAATGATGTTTAGTAACAAAAGATGCTGCCTATTCTTTAGGTATGAATTCATGAGCAAAATTTAGTTTTCAGGGTTCGCAGCCACCTCCGAAAGGAAAAGACAAAGATCACGATAAATCTCTGATCGAGGCTCTGCAGAAAATGGAGAAGTCTGCGCCAGCGGCCGATCTATTTCTCCTACAGTTCGAATGCGACCCGCCAGTCGAGAAACGTGCCGTGCTACCTATCGGGGACTGGGCGCTCTGCGGGACCGACCGCTCTCGACGTGCCGTGCTGCGGGATTCAACATTCGCACTCATACTGGCCCCTGCCGATAGGACGTACGTGACCACGGCCCTCCTGCAAGCGAGGCTGTACGAGGCGTTAAGGTCAGGCGCTATCCCAGTGATACTCGGAGGCGACCGCATCAGGCTGCCGCTGGACGAGGTGCTGGACTGGCGGCGCGCGACGCTGTCAGTGCCGCGCGCGCGCGTGCCCGAGCTGCACGTGGTGCTGCGCGCGCTGGCGGACGCCGACCTGCTGGCCATGCGGCGGCACGCGCGCCTGCTGTGGGAGCGCTACCTGAGCTCGGTGCAGGCCGGCGTGGACGCGCTGCTGGCCTGCCTGCGCACGCGCCTGCTCATCCCCGCGCGCCCCGTGCCTCCCACCGTGGGCGCCCCCGCCTTCAACGACTCTTACTTCCCCCCGCGGCTGGAGCCCCCGGCGGTGGACGCCGAACCAGAAGAAACGCTCGGGCCATTGGAGGCTCCCTATCCCAGTCCCGCTTACCGCCGCAATTTCTCCGTGGCATTGTTACATGGGTACGAGATGTGGAACGAGTGGGGGGAACCCTTCGCCCTGTACCCACAGTTACCGTGGGATCCAGTCGTGACGTCGGAAGCTAGGTTCATGGGATCCGCGGCAGGGTTCCGTCCGGTGGGCGCGGGTGCGGGCGGTTCGGGCCGGGAGTTCAGCGAGGCTCTAGGTGGCGACCGTCCGCGGGAACAGTTCACCGTTGTCATCCTCACCTACGAGAGAGAGAGCGTACTAGCCGCAGCACTGGCGAGGCTCCGGGGGTTGCCGTATTTGAATAAGGTAACTTGAAATGAATAATAATCTCAATTAATTTTAATGATAAGCTTGAAAGTCAAACAACAACAATAAGCTTGCCTGGTGCTTTATCAGCTAGACCTTAAAAGGAGCAGGTTATAAGAAAATAGATATTTTAAGGGTTCTGTAACTAAATGAAAAAAAAAAACTGAACCCTTATAGACATGTTATGCCTGTTTGTCTATGCATCCGTATGTTACAGCCATAAAAATAATTGCGAAACCATAAGAACTATACTTTTGGGCGTTCCTCTATATGGACACTCAATATTTTTTACCTGTATCGATTTCATAAATTACATTAATGGTTAAAAAAACGTTTGCCATAGAGAAATAAAAGATTGCCTTTCTTCTTCAAAAACTCACCCCTTTAGTATTTGCTTTTAATGTGTCTTAAATTATTGTTATATTATTTTACGTGCTGCTAATGTACCATTGAGGAAAAAGTCTGACTTGCACTTGGCTGCCATTTTTATTTACCGTTTTAATGTTCTATTTTTGTTTAAATCTTTTTTAGGATTTTAATATTCTATTATGTGTAGGTGGTGGTAGTATGGAATGGCCCGTCGTCTCCAAGCAGCGTGTCGTCGTGGCCGGAGAGTGGCGCCCCCGTGGCGGTGGTGAGAGCTCCGCGCAACTCGCTGAACAACCGCTTCCTGCCGTACCATCTCATTGACACCGAGGCTGTGCTCTGCGTCGACGATGACGCCCATCTCAGACATGATGAAATCGTTTTCGCCTTTAGGTATGTTACTATTTTTTTTTTGTTTAACCGTTGTCCCGCACTCGGATTTTCTCTTGTATCGTGAGTGCGGTTACAAACATACAATTCCACATACACATGACACCCAGACCCGGAACAACAATTTGTGGATAACACAAAGAGTTGTTCCGTACGCAAATCGAACCCACGACACTTTGCACGGCAGCCGGCTGCCCAGCCACCGTACTAACTGTGTAGTAAATTCAAAAAGTCAAAGTACTTAAAGTATAACACTATGCTGGTAATTCCGTTTCTAAACTCAAATATTAGACAACATTATCCGAAATAGTTTCCAACCACCAATCTTAAAGTTATTGTTTATTTGTAATAGTACCTTTTATCAATTACCTTACATTACATTGAAAAATATTATGTGTATGCATACAGGGTGTGGCGCGAACATCGCGATCGTATCGTCGGCTTCCCTGGCCGATATCACGCGTGGGATCTCAACTTTAACAATGGATTCCTATACAATTCCAACTACAGGTAAATTTTCGATTTTTTGATTTAGTCATTTTATTACGAGGTTCCCGACTAGATTCGGGCTCAACCGGAGTTCTTAGTTGTGTACTGTAGCCAAGAAGTACATAATTCAACAAACCTCTTTGTTAAGGACTAATGTTTGAATAAGGTGTTATGCAATCGGGTAGTTTCCTATTTCAAAAATAAATTAATTACGTGTTTGAATACAATATTTGAAAATAACTATACTTTTATTCAGCGATCTGGCGATACACTACATTTTTAAATATTTTTTAGCTAATATTTAAGAAATAAGTAAGCTATTTGACCCAAAAATATTATGACGTCATAATTTAAAGTTTCATATAAGTTTCATAGAAACGTATCGTTTTTGACATTTGGATAAAAGTATTCAATTTGACTAGTTGGAAACTACCGTTGGAAATAGACTCTGTGAGGACAGTACGACTTTACTTAGACTCATGTCTACTTTTAAAGTACTAATATTTCTTAATTGGAATAATGTACAGCTGTGAACTGAGTATGGTACTGACGGGCGCGGCGTTCGTGCACCGCTACTACCTGTGGGCGTACTGGCGCACCCTGCCGGCCGCTATCAGGGACTACGTGGACGAATATATGAACTGCGAGGATATCGCTATGAACTTCCTAGTTTCACATATTACTAGGAAACCTCCAGTCAAGGTAAGATCAAGTTTTAATCTTATTTCACTTGATTGAAGGTTCAATATAATTTTACCAAAATTTTTTTCGTTTAAATGCAGAAACAAGATGATTTCTAAATATTAGAGCAATTTCCGAAATGTCTAAAAAAAATTATATACAAGCCTACAAGGTAGACATAAATTAGTTTAAAATTTATTTTATTATTGAAAATAACGAATTACATGAATTGATCGAGAAACGATAATTAACTAACATATGATGATAAGGGTCGTCAATTGTACACAATGTTTAAAATTAAATATTTAAGACGCTATACAAATCACTACAAAATACAAAACAAAGTCGTTTTTTCTGTATTTATATACCTATGTATGCTTAATATTTAAAACTACTCAATTGATTTTGATGGGGTCTTTTAATAGATAGATTGATTTCAGGACGAGTTTATATGTATAATAATAGCAATTCAATATTACAGAATATAAGTATCAACATAGCACCCGTCACCATAACCAAGCCGGGCCGGGTCAATAGTAGTTTAAATAATTAAAAAATTGGTGTGTGATATGTTAATAAAAAAAAATTATAACTCAAGAACGGCTGAACTGATTTGGCTGAAAATTCGTAGGGAGGTAGTTAAGAACTGGGAGAAGGACATAGGATAGGATAGAGTAGGTAGTGCAGCTTAGGTAGAGTAGGGTAGATTGAGTAGGGAAGGTTGAGTAGGGTAGGTTGAGTAGGGTAGGTAGAGTAGGGTAGGTTGAGTAGGATAGGTAGAGTAGGGTAGGTAGAGTAGGGTAGGCAGAGTAGGGTAGGCAGAGTAGGGTACGTAGAGACCGGTAGGTAGAGTAGGGTAGATAGTTAAATGACGGGAGCGACGCCACGAATAACAGCTAGTTTGTAATATTAGTAGGATTGATTGATGTATATTTTCATACACAGGTGACATCAAGATGGACGTTCCGGTGTCCTGGCTGCCCCGTTACCCTGTCAGCAGACGAAACACACTTCCACGAGAGACATAAATGTATACAGTTCTTCTCGCAGGTACGGAATAAGTATTTATATTGTATTTTTTATGTGATAGCAATCAGCGTTCACGGACACCCGCAACACCAAAGGAGTTAAGAGTGCGTTGCCAGCTTTTTAGGAATAGAGGTTTGGGATATTTAAGGTTTGGGAAGGGATGGGGGAGGGGAGGGATTGGGCCTCTGTAGTTGTAGTTGTTTCACTCCGGTTTTCTGTGAGGCCGTAGTATTACTCCTGTCGAGCCGACCTTTTCGCGCCGAAGCATGGCTCTCCCACACTTTTTTTGCTGCTTTTTTGCTCGTATTACGTTTTTTATGGAATAGTTTAGCAAACGAGCCAAGAGATCACCCGGTGGTAGTAAGCATTCGGCAAATACCAAGGAGTTACAAGTGAGTTCCGACCTAACAGTTATGTTTATGACTGCACGATTGGCGCGGTGGTTGGGCATTCGGCTGCGGCGAAAAGTGTCGAGAGTCCCGCATGGAACAACACTTATGCGATATACAAATTGTTGTTTCGGGTCTGGGTGTGATGTGTATGTGAAATTGAATATCTGCAAACGCACCCACGACGCAAGAGAAAAATCCTAGTGTGGGGCAAAGTCTTTAAAAACAAAGAAAAATTAATTGGAGGTTCCAGGGATTGGGAATGGGAGGGGGAGGAATTGGGCTACTGTTAACTTTAGTCATACAGGGAAACACGACGCAAGCGTGTTTTGACGCCGGTGTTCTGTGAGGTCGTGGTATCACTCCGGTCAATCTGACCTATAATACCTATTCACACCGAAGCATGGCTCAACCACACTTATAAAACGTAATTGAGAGTAACCAATATTATGTCCAATAATATAATTTTTCCCTCTTTAGGTGATGGGATACACGCCGCTACTAACGACGCAGTATCGCGCAGATTCCGTACTCTTCAAGACACGGATACCGCACGACAAGCAGAAATGTTTCAAGTTTATATAGTCTCCCGTTGTTCATAGACCTTACTTGTGGAGACATAGCTAATTATAGTCATTATTTATTGAATTCATTAGACAGTGTTAGCGAACCGAGTAGTAGTGTAACCGTATTTATTTCGTCGTATGATACTGAGGGAGGAAATATCCAATGACAGGTAGAATTTTTTTACTGACGCCGACAGATCAACCTTTATATTTGAACAAGTGGTTGTACTTATGATAACAAATAACTTTTCCAAAGAAACTATTTGTCTATACTCGTAAGTTTTATTTTTATTACTAGCTAATTACTGTGCATAGTTCTAACGCGGTCGCGCGGAGCCTCGTCGCTAACAGCTGATCGGGGATGCACGATGCACGACGACGGGCGCGCAAGATTTGTTATAAGTAGAAATAGGAAATATAAAACGAATTGTATAGAAAAATAGTTTCTTTTAGAAAGTGGTTTCATAATTTGAGTACAATCACGTGTTTAAATATCGCTCACAAATTACCAGTCAGTCTATGTAGACTATGTAGTCTATGTAGACTGACTGGTAATTTTGTAACTATATAAATACATTATATATTATAAATACAATATTACAGAGAATTAATCATGAATGTAATAATTAAATATATTTATTAATAAATCTTATATATTCACTCAGTTCCTTTTCTACACCATTTTATATATTCACCATTAAAGTTGTGTTTTTTAATTCTATGATCTTAAAGTTGTAATATAAGAATTGTAATACTATTGAAAGAGATCATGAATCATGCGAGTCTCGTAATTTTTTAAATGTTTTTGTGGTGGAATTGATTGATTGTTTATTTAAGAGTAATTTTTGGTGCATAAATAATAATAATATTCTAATAGGTATCTAAGTTTAATAAACATTGTAAATATAATCTTAATTACGTAACTATATGGAATACTTTTATCAGTTTGTACATTCGTCTTTACCAAATAAAATTGTTTAGTATACTTAGTTTCCTACGCTATGATAATGTTTTACGGGATATGAGGCGATTTTTATTCACATTTTTCATTGCATTTTATTTAAAGTTTCGGAACATCATGATTCAGTTGTTAACTGAATCTCTAAAAAAAGGAGGTTTAGTATTCTATTTGACTGCTTTGACAATGGAATGAAATTCGCTTTAGCCCCATTAAAACTGCTAATTAGCCTTGAAATGCTACGGAAAAGTTTGATTCTATTATTATTGTTATTGAGCTCCTGTTTCTCCTTAGGCTAAGTTTCAAATAAACGTAACTGATAAATAATATCACATGTTCTCGAAATAGTCGTTTGCTGACAAAAACTTAAACTGAGGTCGTTAAGATGTAGCCCTTAGCGTAATGACAATAAGAATTAAGTACACATACTGTACATATTGTTAGTGAATACAGCAGCTGAAAATAAATTATATTAAATAAAAAAAATCTGAATAAAATGTGGAATTCTTATCCATATAATAATATGAAGGTTTGCAAGTCATCCTAGCGCCAGGTGTTAGGGAGAGTTATTTTTGCGAATTGTTAAAATGGACAGTATTGTATAAATTTCGTTTCCTTTCCTTCTAAAATGTAAAAAATTATGTTATTTCTTGAAATGTTGCTAGAATTATACAATACTAGCTTTTACCCGCGACTCCGTTCGCGTGGAATAGTGTCTTGCTGCAGATTTTTGGTATAAAAACTATCCTTTGTCCTTTCTCGAGTTCCAAACTATGCGTGTACCAAATTTTACACAAATCGGTTCTGTAGTTTCGGCGTGAAGAAAAGACAGACGGAAAGAGTTACTTTCGCATTTATAATATTAGTTTGGATTTGGATTGTGAAATCAATTGCAAGCGTGTTATTTTTTTATATTTTCTGACATTGAAATTTAAATAGTTTTAAATGACAGAGTCGTAGTTATCGTGGAAATTGTGAGATGTCACACTTGGCGCCAGGTTATGAATAATGGATGTTCTAGAACACAATCATTTTTAAATCAAAATGAATTTAAAGAAAAATTACAGAAGTATTTTGTACTCCATAGCAATAAAAAGGTTCGATTTAGTAGTTTTATTTTTTTTGTAAATTCTATTAGAATTCCAATCATTGTGCGTCACTTCATTCATATAAATTTTACCAAATAAATTGAATATGTCACATACGTGAACTCAATAATTTGTGTCAGTACAGTAGTCAATTTAGAACGTCATATTTCAAGATATTTTTTCCCTAATATCCTCTACCTACTCGAATATGGATGTTTTTGTCCCATTAGGGATATGCACGTATATTTTTATTAACCTTACTACAGTAACTATGAAAGCTAACAAAACGTTAATACTTTCACAATGTTTAGTAGTAACTATCATGTGACGTTCTAAATTTAAAATCTTAAATATTCTAAGGTAATTCTAATTTCGCGATTTGTCGACTAACGCATGCTTCCCGTCGACGTCGCGTCGTGCGCGTAATATCAATAGTATATTCTCATTTATTTATAATTTTTAAGATTATTTAGGAACCCAGTTTAGATGGTTTTCAAGACTGACGCACTTTACATATTTTAATTATTGGATAAGTCTAAATCATGTCTATATTGCTTTTTTTACTTTTGTAACCAAGTTTTACGAATTATTTTTTAAGTATATAATTGCATTTATGGTTTGTGAACTTAATTTAAGTAATTAGAACTTTGTAATTTAAAAGCTACTTATTTTCAAAAACGAAAGAAAACATAGTCAAATAAAAGAGTTATACCATCTATAAGTTTTATTTTTATTTTCCTTATAAACTTACTTTTAGTAAAGTTAATAGCTATTCATGGTTTTGAGAACAATACGATTTAGTTATACTTACTAATTCTATTTATTTCTTTATTTAGAGTTATTAAATAATGACTTATCCCGCCTTGAGTGGGGCGAGAGGGATTCCCTCTTAGACTTAGTTAGACTCTTACTGACTAGAAACCACCTCGTTCCTTTTCTTGCTGCAGGACAAGGCCACTACATTATTACGCTTGTTTACAAACCCGGCTGAACATAGGTTTTATTGGACCCCATCTGTGACGGTCTGTTGGCTCTTTCAGGAGTGCGTAGATCACTACGTACCGTGCGCTCGGGTCTGGTTCATGTAGCCTTGCGAGTTTCCCTTACGCGCCGTTCCACGCTTACGGTGACAGGAGACGTTGCATGATCCCCAACACCCGGAGTGTCTTTTCTTGTGACAGCTGGAGAGTGACGAGGCTAGTCCTTCAAGCGCTGCGCAACATGGCCTCGAGTAAGGCCGAGCGCGAGAGTTTGCCGCAACCGATCACTTCCCTGAGCACACGGTGATGCTCAGCCCAAGTAGAGCACATCGCAACCCGGGCGTTTCCTTTTAGTGGATCCAAAGCAGGTACCTTTCGAATTTTCGCGTGTTTCACTTCCAGATAGATGATGAGTATTGGTGACGAAGCTGTGGCGTCTCTCTAGCTACTCCTCAAAACACAACATCGCTGTGTCGCAAGTAGCTGCTTCACACAGTTAAGGCGTAAAATTATTGACTTAAATATTAGATTTTCATGATTTTATTTTTGTAATGTATGTGGTCCAGGAATCGAGAGCACCAGCTGAAATACTTATAGCTTACAAGACACTACACTAGATAGGTACCCTACGAACCAGTCCTGAGTACTTTTCAGTGGGTATTTCAGTAATAGGTTCTTTTGATTCCCAAAAGGAAAACATAGTACCTAGATAAGTCAATATTAAAATACTTATAAGCTCATTTTCCTTTGACATCGGTATCTACCTAACTCCCTACACATTTTTCCTTTATTTCTCTTCTCCATAACCCACTTAATCCATATTCTAGGTCATTTGCATGTACCTGCTGTGTACGTACCTACTGTCAGGTAGTACTTATTTAGATGGGTCAGTGTCAACCCAGTGTCAAGATCATTTGCGGTGGCAATACGAAGCGGCACTTGTCCCCACAACCGCAGGTACTTGCGCTACCAGTATTAACTGATCACTACGGATCACGTTACTGATATATCTATCATATATAGGTTTATATTTGTCCAAATGCCCTCTCAAATGTCCTCCAGTAATAATAGATAACGTGCCGTAATATTAATTTTAGTTAAGCCTTACCATGATCGAGCGAGTGTGATTTGTGGGACCCCGGCATTAAATAAGTCAACTAATGTTATTTAAAAAAATAATTAATTATAGTTTTTAAAGTCCTGTGGGCCCTGGTCTGCATCCCAAAAACCATTAGTTGGATCCGCCCCTGTGCCTTTTATAGACATAATAAAGCTTTAGTTACCTACAAATAAAAGCATTGTCAATACAAAGTTTAGTTTAGTTTTAGTTTTTTTGACTGCACGGTTGGTGCGGTGGCTGGGCAACTGGCTGCGGCGTAACGTGTCGCGGGTCCGATTCCCGCATGGAACAACAAATTGTTGTGTGATCCACAAATTGTTGTTCCGGGTCTGGGGGTGATGTGTATGTTTGTAAACGCACCCACGACATAGGAGAAAACCATAGTGTGGCAACGTTTTTTCTTAAAATAACAACCATCACCAGCCTATAAGTGCTCACTGCTGAGCAAAGGCCTCTTCTTACACGGAAAAGAATTGAGCATTAGGTACCTATCTCGCTTGCTCTAGGCGTATTGGCGAATCCAAACTAAGAATAAGAAATTATGAAATTCAGGTTTCCTCACGATGTTTTTCGTCGCAGTTTGTCAGTAGTGTCTAAAATTAAATAAACTCAGAAAATACATACCTAATATAGGTCGGAAAATTTGAAAGCCTCCGGTTAACCTCCACAAAAATGTATGAAATGCTAATTCGCAGTTCACTATCGTTATTTGCGTTTAGGTGCCGTGTGTTCATAGTGTGGCGTATCTTTTCTTATCGTTCAGTTTGATCTACATAACTACACCTGTTCCTTTGTAACTTTTGCCACTTACTGTTGGTAAATAGCACGTTGATAGGACTACCACCAACAAGGCTGCTTTAAAGTAACATATAAATCGAGCTTAGTATCAGAAGGCTTCGCAGAAGACTAGCGAGAGATAATATTTTCGCTGTGATTTCCTTTCCCATTTGAACGAAGTTCGGGGGCGAAATATTCTTTTGCCTTACGGATTTAAATATTCCTCGCGCACCTCAAAGATCCAATAGACGACCACAGACGGGGCGCTTTAAGGCTGATGTTCACCCGGGAGCCCCGCAACCGGGGCAAGCGCAATGAGGCACCGCGGCCTCGGCCGGTGAAGGAATGGGGGGTTTTTTTTTAGTCGGTAAGAGTCTGACACTCCCTCTCGCTCGACCCTTTTTTTGTCAGGGGAAAAACATCAATGGCTTCTCCCGCCCAGGGTAAAGCGAGAGAGAGTGTCAGACTCTTACTGACCAAAAACCCCCGTTCCTACTCCTTCTCATTGCGCTTAAACCGCTACCCCTCCCGCCCGACCCTGAGGCGGAAGAAGTCATTGGATAATTATTTTCTCACCAAAAAACCCGTTCCTTCTCCTGCTCTAGGTCGAGGCCGCGGTACATTATAACGCTTGCCCCGTAACCCCGACCGAAAGTCATCTTAACTAATGGGGATTCTCGCTTAACGGGATCATTTTGTACTAACTTCCATTAGGTATTCAAACTGTACTGCGCTGTACTAATTTTGGCAGCGGTTTTTGAAAAAAATTGAGTACTTTTATTACCTACATACCTTCAAAAGTTGAGACCAGTCCTTCATCTACCTTTGTATATAGCGCCACGCCACCACACGCATCTTTAAGTTCAATAATATTCTCTCAAAATATGTTAGAGATTTTATAAATAAGGCCAATGCAGAGGTTATGCAAATTTCATTAGAGGTATTCTACCTAGGAACTCTAGGTAGGTACATTAAATATATTTTCAAAATAACTACCAGAGGGTGATAAGTGATCGATACTGATGCCAAAAATGCAGTCAGTAACATTTTTGTCTGTCTGTCTGTCCGTCTGTATGTATGTTTCTTATAGAAACAAAAACTGCTGAACAAGACGGATTTTAACAAAACTTTGTACAATTATTCTTTATACTCCTGGGCAGGTTATAGGATACTTTTCATCACGCTACAAATAATAGGTGCAGAGCAGTGAACGGAAATGTTGAAAAAACGGGAGTAGTTACTCCATTTTTTTGAGTATCCGTCACATGTGTAGCCTTAATGGTTAAAGTTACCTACATAGAAATTATGTATGGCGGAAATATTCTACACAAAATTATCTAAAAAAATTTGTTTCACAGCATATGTCTATCTTTTATGGTTTACTCATAATAGCACGTGTAACTTCGATGGCTTATAATCAGAACCCCTAGTTCTGATTATAAGCCATCGAAGACAAACAGATATTATTGTAAGGTTTCTTATTGACTAGCATAAGATTATCATAATAAATATTTCAGTTTTAATTAATTAATTATTTTACAGGTAGAAAAATAAAAAGTTGAATCCTCTCATTTACTTTATCAAAGTTATTCTTATTTTGAGTTATAAAGAGAACCATTTGTAAATCAAACTGTTGGCAGATATTAACATATTTAAATTCTTTTACAATCATCATAAAAAAGTAGATATGAAACAAAAAAAAACACCTGTGGTGTGGTATTATAAAAAAATATAATTTATTTGCTATTTATTACATACTACATTTATTCACCCATAAGGTTTTTTCTTTAGGTAGTGTTACTAGTAACAAATAAAACAAAAAAATAAAATAGTATCATATTTATTTACCATAATAAATTATCAAGACAAAACGTTTACATTCATATTTATATGTATAAGGTACTTACAAACGTATCTATAGATTAATTTGACATTCTCACAAATCAGTAGTTATAAAATTATTTCATTCATTTAGTTCATTCTCGAGTTGGTATAACTTTGAACACTTCGGTTGTAAACTCGCTAGGTTCTATGTACTACTTAGGTAATAGCTTACACATAAAGCGACTTACAATAGGTACCAGATTTGTTTAGAGAAATGTTCTGTCTAAGGTATAATTTTATTATAAAAATGATATTTTATTATTATAAAAATGATATTTTAGTTTTTTGGTATTTAGTAGCTTTTATAAAGATAATACGGACAGTGAAATGAATCTTCATTCAATGTATGATGAACATTATGTATGTAAACTTGCGAATGTAAGTCGATTTGAAGTAAACAAAATACGTTAAAGTAATTGATAGGTACTTAAATATTTAACTACACTATTAAGGGAGCTACACAGTGAGATTTTTGAAAGGTCATATATACTTAACTCCCTCGTTACCTACGCGTAAAATTTAGAAACATTTATCATCCCAAATATCAAAGAGTATAAAAACCTCAATTATTTTGTTATAAATTATCGTCAAACATATTTAAAACATTTACGTTAAACTTAACATTAAAATATGGGGCGGATATCAAATTGTTCGAATACTTAATATATGAAAGAAGCTTGTAGTTTTGCATAAATACGCTGTACTTATAGATATTTACAATGTACAAACATTATTATGTATGGACACAAACTGGTCGGTTGGCTTCTTACCAAGAAGTCTCTACACTATAGTACACTCCACAATATACTCAGCAGAGCAATGAGAATGACTCCGAGACTTGATATCGTTTGACACGAGATAAGATTCCAAATATCAGATTTCTTAGAAGTGTGTGGTTGGTTCGTGTGGGTAGCGTCCTTGATGCGGTCACTATAGTTCTGTCAGCCGTTGTAGGTCACTTAAAGCTGTCGTTGGTTTTGTAGTAGTAGAAGGGTGGAGTGCGGGCCCGGGCCCGGCCACGGGTCGCAGGGGCGCGGGGGGCGCGGGAGGCGCGCGGGCCCCGCCAGTCGGCGCTCTCAAGCCATGTCTTCGCCTTTACCGTCGAGCCTCTTCAGCTAAACAAAAACACAATAGGTTAACTCCGATCCGACGAAAGACTTGTTCTATCAACACTGGCATACGTACCTAGATAAAACCGCCCTGTCGAAGTGGGCAAATGGGAATAAGAAGGCACACAAATCATTAAGGTACATCGCACATCAGTGATGGAATACAGTTACTGGTTTGTTCAGTTTGAATTGATGGGATGTGGATGATCATGAGCACACTTGGCTACTTACACTTTGTTCTACTGTCCAAGCTGTTGGCGCTAGGCGTCCAGTGCGCTTGTAACGAGCAATGTTATCAGTTAACTTGGGAAAATTTGTCAGAAGACTTTTTTAGAATAGAGAATAGAGAGAGTACTTTTAATTCAAGTTGAGCTTACCTCTTTCTCGTCTCCGGCAACGGAGCGGTAGCGCGGGGGCGTGCTTACAGCGGGTGCTGAGAATCCGTGAACGTACAGTAGTGCAGCTGCGATGCCACCGGCGATAGGACCCGCCCAGTATACCTGAGTGACATTGTGATTTAGAAATCTTCCTCTTTTTTGAGCTTATTTTAAAAAGGTATGGCATATTATCCTGTTTGATATTTAAATTTAGAGTAGTTGTCATCTTTAATCAAGTGTTAATTTCAATAATTTAGTTACCTGGTGAGCCAAATTACTAACCCTATTGAATATTAGTGATGGTTCATTCTTACCCAATGGTCAGTCCACACGTTGGCGACGAGCGCTGAGCCGAAGGAACGAGCAGGGTTCATGGCCGAGCCGGTGTAGTCGATAGCAAGCAAGTGGCCTAGCGTCACTGTCAGGCCAATAGCCAGAGGCGCCGTGGCTTTGCTGTCAGGTTTGTTAGGGTCACATACCTGAGGAAACAATTTATAATAAGTAAAAAAATCCGTTAAATAGATTTAAAAATATTAATACAAACTGAACTTCAAATTTTAGTATTTCTACTCGACAATAGATGGCGCTGTTAAACATAGCAATACTTGCATACAACAAAACCACAATCGCCGATACCATGAAGCGTCGCTTCGAGTTTTTTTCGCCTCAAATGCATCAACCGCTATCGGCGATTCCAAAAAGCGCTTCTTTCTCGATTCTAGTTTTTTTCGACTCAAATGCATTTTAGCATTTTTTTTTATTTTTATTAGTTGGCGAGATTGTTAAAAGTTGGACCATACAATATACGAATGGTTAGTGGTAATCTCGCGAAGAAAGGGTTAACAAGCATTCCAAAAAAATAGATTTTTATGGAAACCAATAATAATTATAGTACGCCAATCCCCACAATCTTTAAATCTTTGGTAGCGTTATTAGAATTAAAACAGTAAAAACCTATGGCTATAATATGCTATATGTTTATTGCTAGGCCATAAATAAGTAACTGTAAATAATTGCCCAAAAACCAGAAATCAATCAGAAGCAGCGGAGCGTATAACAAGGCATTAGTTTTGTTTTGTTTTACCGACCGCGCCGAGTTGTGGTTGAGTTGCATCGTCTACTTAATTAGGTATCTACTTATATAGAGTAACGGTGTTCCTTGTCTTCTAATAATATAGGAGTGTACGTAATTATATCTATCTCTTTACTCTCATATTACGTACGATCATGGTACCATCACTCATTTAAATATTTGATTGCCTTTTTAATACCTAAGTTTTTTTCGTGTGCATAGTTGGCGCCACTGCAGCGAATGGTTTAATATTTAAAGATAACGTAGGTAATAAATAATAATAGATACAGTGAGATCTTAGAGCCCAAAAATAAATATATATCTCAGTCGAAACCTAAGCGTTTAGGTATCTTTCATATACACATTTTTATAAAATATATATATATTGATATATTTCAGGTGGGTAGAAAATAATTCTAGCTAGTAACAATTAAGACTCAATATTTTTTCACAAAACATCAGCCAGTCACAATTCGCTGCAAGCACGTACGGACATCTCAAATCATTCAATATTTTACTGTAACATAAACAGCAACACTGTGAACCACATAATATGTTTATGTCACATATAAATTCCACGCTTTGTGATGCGATGCCAATCGCTGTGATTTGGGTAAATCTTAGTTTTTTGCATGCCAATAGATATTGGATAAATATATAAAAATTGATAAACAAATATTGGATAAAGTGTAAGAGAACTGTGCTTCGGCACGAATGGGTCGGCTCGACCGGAGTGATACCACGGCCTCACAGAAAACCGGCGTGAAACAACCACAGTGTTGTGTTTCGTGATGAGGTTACCGGAGGTCCAATCCTTCTCCTTCCCCAATCCCTCCCCAGTTCCTAAATCTCCAAATCCCTAATCCCTAAAAGGTCAGCAACGCAGTCGTAACTCCTCCGTTGCGGGTGTTCATGACGGCGCTGATTGCTTACCATCAGGTAATCCGTGTGGTCGTTTGCCGACCTATTACATAAAAAAAATCTTACACTTTATGTAATATTTTTATGTACATAACATAGTAATTATTTAGGTACCCTAAAGATTTTGCATTGTTTGTTTTTTCGTGAACTGTTTTTTTTTTGTGATACCTATTGAGTAATAATTTATGTTCAATAGTTTGTAATTTAGGCGGACAGATACGTGACCAGCATACATTTTAGTTGCCATTAGTTAGCTATTATTATTGTTGGTTGGATATAAGTACTTTCATAAAATAGTGTAGAGAACGAATCTTAAATAAAAATCTCCCATATCCCATTTGCATAGACTAAAATAGTTGTTATCAATAAAACTAAGTAGATATACAGCGTTGGCGGTGCTTGTAACCACATTAGGGAGGAAGTAGTAGAGTGTTACGTAGGCAGTGACAAATTGCCGACTCATCTCTAAGAAACCAGATTTTTTGAATGACCTCCTCGCCGGGGATCATACACAATTGCCTGTCGACGTGGCCACGCTTTCTTTTTTATTATCTGTGCATCATGCATTCTTACGTTTGAAAATAGAATTTTGCTTGGAAACAAACATCAATGAAGTAAAAGCGTGTTCCATAAAGCTACGTTATAATATTGATTATGTTAATCTGTAGTAGATTGCTGCCTTCTATTTCTCGAACAAAATACTGAGTTCCGTCACGCAACGTTACCCCGCGTTTTGTCTGCGTTTTTTTTTAGGAATCTCCACGCAAATCTCGCGAAATTTATTTTGCTTGTAATAATTATAGTGTTTGATATAAATAAGTAGGCGTTTCGGGCTTTCTTTGTATTTAATTTTTAAATACCTATTATATGGAACCGATTTGTTAAATCCTTATCTACGACATTTACCAAATACATAATTCCTTAATATTGTTTGTTTGGTTGGATTGTAGATACGAAAGTAACATGAAGTTATGTAATTTTTCAAAGCTGAAATGAGAATGATTGTCAATCATTCGAGGCCTGGCCCAATGTCATAGTGGTATTAACCACAGATAATTATACCACAAAGAGGCGTCGGTAAGGACACTAGCTATATTCTGTAGTGACATTGAATTATTACAATCCTGCCTCAACCAGATCACGATTGCATTAATATTTAAATAATATGTGTAAGGTAATACTTTATCTCCTTTCCTGACGAGATGTTGTAAGCCTATGAGTCAGTGTGTTTTCTTAGTTTGAGTAGGTACTTAAATACGTAAATAATGATGCTAGTTTCAATTCTGTTTATCAGACGGCTAAGTACATTTTAATAAATTTATTGTTCTGAGTTAGTGCTTAGGTTCTATATAGTGTAGGTACCTACATAGATAGAAAATCGTTGTGTTATGTCAATAGCTAAGTTCTTCATAATTTTATTTGGTAATCCATTGATTCGTAATGATTGATGATCGATCATTATCGTTGTATCAGACTGGTAATGTCTTTGAAATTTTATGGTGAAATACCTTATGCTATTGATTTATATTTAGACACTCTCATAATCTCTTTATCTGAACTTGAGGATTTTTGTTTGAACATTTCGTTCGACGTTTGAGTGAAGAATTTAGTGCCTAGTTTAGATATGTTAACAATTTTCTGGTCTTTATAACAACATCCGTAGAGTGTGACTTTCCAGTGTTGGAATACACGCCTCCTCTGTATAAAAGGAGCGAGCAATAAAAGTCTTAATCTCCAGGGTATTTTCCTGCCGGGTTGCGGGTTAAGCGCAATGAGTCACCGCGGCCTCGGCCCAGAGTAGGAGAAGGAACATTGGGTTTTTAGTCAGTAAGAGTCTGACATTCTCTCTCGCCTAACCCTGGACGGGAGAAGTCATTTGATGATTTTCCCCTGACAAAAAAGGGGCATTTTTCCTGTCAGACTCTTAATGACCACCCCGTTCCTTCTTCGGCTCCAGGTCGGAACCGGGGTATATTATTGCGCTTGATCCACAACCTTGGCTGAACATCAGCCCTATTGGGTCTCATCTGTGGTGGTCTGTCTGCTCATAAAGACGCGCGTAGAAGGCTACGCGCCTCATACTCACCACGTATGGCAAGTATGGCAACCAGATTGGAGATCGCAATTTTAAAGTTCACAGAAATCAAGTATACCTCTGTGTGCCAAAAAAATAAATCTATCTACTAACATACGGCTGATACAAATAAAACAAAACGTATTACAAAAAAAATATCTCCATGCATTTTATTTTGCGAGTACCTAGACGTTGTTTTTTCTATAGTCCGTTTATAGAAACTGTTTAAATATTTCATTACAAAAAGACAGATTGCCGCGCACGTTTCCGCTAATAACTTTGTGTCACGATACGACTGATGGTACCTCAGGCTATGAGATTTGTCATTAGCTGATTGTTTTATGGTAGGTACTTACCTAGAATCGCGTTCCAACTCATTTACTAACAAAGAATCGCGACTATATTAATTAGCTAAAAATTAAAAGCATTACATTTTATGTTGCGGCAAAAATTGCATCAAAATCAAATTATTTAGGTAAAAAAGGCATTTAACTTTGATTATGGGAGAGCCTAGCTTGGGCACGAATAGGTCGGCTCGACCGGAGTAATACAACGGCCTCACAAAATACCAGCGTGAAATAACCACAGCGTTGTATTTCGCCGTTCGAGGTAGGTAACCGGAGGCCCAATTCCTCCCCTTCCCTATCCCTTCCCAATCGTTAAATATCCGCAACCCTTATCCCAAAAAGGCCAGCCCCGCACTTGTAACGCCTTTGGTGTTGCGGGTGTCCATATACTCGTTTGTCGACTTATTCAATAAAAAAACGCAACGATTCTTTTCTGAATGAAAAAAAAAAAACAATTTGAACTTAATATCTGATTCTCCTGCTTTTGTTTGCGTGACTGTAAAAACCTGACTAGCAGATTACGTCTATCAAAACTGGAATTAATTTCTCAATGACAAAAGATCGAATATTTTTAGGAGTTACCTAAATATTGTGCATTTCTGTGAACGTTTTTTATATTATCTTATCTATACGACGAGTTCTTAATCGTAGTTATTACGTACTATTACCATCTGTATTTCTCGGTACCTATTGTTATTATTTATTACTTTTATATTATTTAGTATTTAACACACTGAAGTTCTTAGAATATATTTAATCTATCTTCTGTCTACGGAAAAACCCTTCCTTGCGAAATACGTACATACCTACCTATTACAATTTAATCTGAATTTCATGACTCACAATATATCTATCTAATCCGAAAAACCCAATTGCCAAATTGTACCACTTTTTGTGGTCAGTCCAAAAAAAGACGGCTGGAGATTTTAAATTGATGTTTGTTTTTTCCACGAAAGTTTATATGGGGAGTTATGTTGGCTAACTGCCCCGAGAAGATAAGTAACTGAAAACAATACATCTCGACTCATTAGTATTAGTCTTGTAAAAAACTCACCCCACACACGACGAAGATGAGCACGAATCCTAGGAAGAATTCGATTCCGAAGCCTTGCAAAGGAGTGACGTCAGCGCCGAGACCGGTGGTGCCGAGGGTACCAGCTGCTCGATCGGGAGTAAGGGCTTTCAGCAGGCCAGATCCAGCGGCCGCGCCTGCGCACTGCGCTATGATGTACAGAATCGCACGCGCAATCTTAACACGACCTGTTGACGCCAGACCTAGAGTCACGGCGGGGTTGATGTGGCCTCCTGAGATGTGTCCTATCGCCTGTTGAAAATTAAAATGTCAATGAATTAAAGTAAATCCTTTGATGTTTATACTCCGTGGGTTGCTAAAAATGACGTTATGACACAAAGAACCAAAGAAATGGCACAAAAAGTACCGAAAATGTAAGTATGTCCAAATTAAACTTGTATAGATATGTAGATACCGAGACACTAGCAAACACCGCCAGACCGAAGGCAAGGGCGATGAGCACTATGTTGGGAGGAGCACTGGAGCCTTGAATGATGTTGATACAGGCGCCGCATCCGAACAGGTTCAGTAACAGATTACCTAAACAAATAGAAATAAAAAAATATAACAAGCATCTTCGCATTTACTTACTATACACAGTACTTTATAACTGATCCCAGACATAACAACCGTTTCAGAGAATTTCGAAAAAAATAAAACGAATTGTTAAGTTTGTTTTGTTTTAAGTTACAAGTTTGACTAAATCATGTTTGTCGATTTTGAACTTTTGGTCTAGATGGCCCTTGTGAAGAGTTAGGCCCTATTTGGTCTAAGTCTAGTTACGAATAATCAAATTTTATTTTAGTGTCTAAGTCCCATTTCTGACATTATTCCCAATAACATTTCGAGCGATAATTTTGGAAGTAAAAGATTAAATTTAGTGACACCAAGCATATTAGGTAGCAATATTTTTTTTTTGTAAGGATAGGAACTGATGATACTACAATCCTCTATATGTCTGTACTGTAGATAGTTTACATTTACCACAAGTTTCATAACGGTTTCATACGAAGGGCTATCGCACGCTAAGATTGACATTTGAATGAAGACGCCAAGTTTATGTCGTCGTAAATTGAGATGACGCAAAGATAAGGTGGTATTTTTCTTTGCATTTTTCCTTACGTATTCAACCTTTTAGGAATTTTAACATCTTGATAAATATTTGATGGAAATATTTTTAAATATTGTATAAAGAAATGTATTCGTTTTATATGACTCTGAACTAATTCTACTTAGGTACCAGAACAATATAAGAAAAGGTCTTTTTGCTGGATCTTTAACAGTCTGCTCCGGTATCAGTGTGCCAAAAATCAATATTATCAAAGGTTAATTCTATGCAACTACTTACGACTTCATCTAGATATTCTAGGAATATCTAATAACCACAAGGAAACCGAGTTTGCATATATCCTATAAAGTTGGAAAATATTTTATCGTGAGTTAACTATGAAGTTATAGCGAGGCAATTATCTAACTGCATTTATTGATAATAATCTACAATACATGAACTCCAGAATGCTTGTACGTACTGGTTAGTTGTGAAGTTATTGTGGATAATTAAATGATATTTAATTGTAGGTACGGTGAAGTAAATAATGGTTGTGTCGAATAAAAGAATTGTTTTTTTTTTCAAATTTAGAATGTGCTTTTGTCTGTAAGGCAGTATCTGTAAGTAAATTGGTATGGTCATGGCAATATTTCTAACTAAACCTACCTCAAACTTTTTTATTACAGGGATTATGTATAAGCCTGCACCGATGTGAAAATTAATGTCTGATATATTTTAATTTAGAACGAAATCGAATCTTGTAACACTTCCAAGATAACTTGATTCTGTTAGTCATGCCCAAAAGCAGTTATTTTCAGTTCTTTTTCAATAAGCATGTGTGATTTACATAAAAACATATGATATCTCGGTATGGCACGCAACCTTGTCAAGTGTCCACTGATGTCACCTATTAGGGCTATTAGATGATTCCGTTTAAGGTATCTCAGTTAACACAATGTGGAATTTTATCATACCCAGTAAGGAGAATTTTTCATAGAAAAACTATGGCCACGTCGGACAGCCTATTATGTTGTCGCGTCTATAATAATGTCATCTAATGATATTTTTTCTTAATGATCTTCAGAGTAAGATTGGGTATGCGATAGCAAATTGAACTCATATTTTTTGGAACGACCACTAGCTTCAGTGATGAACAGACTGACTCATTATATTCTATTTTGATGTTTTCGTATTTGACTTTGACTTTGAACAGAATTTGGTAGATGTAGTATAAACTAAACAAAACTTAGACCATTTTTCAAAGCGGTAAAAGAAAAAGTGCAATTAAAATATTGTAGTTTATTTATCTTACCGATGAATTCTGCCAGCAGTGCCTTGCTGATGCCGGCAGCTCCTCCAGTCAGCTCATCGAGACCAAGCTTAGCACCTAGTTCACCCATGATTCTGTGAACAAAAGAAAAACTACATAAGTCACACAGGCTTCAAACACGGTAAGTATATACCTACATCTTATTTAGAAACGAACATACCAACACACTTTCGCCCTTTTCACTTGTTTTTATTTATCTTTTATACGACTTTGTCTTGCGTATCCGGATTTCGTTTTACCGTACTTAAATTAAGCTAAGATGCACTCGCTTATAAATCCCAATTGCAACTAAAGCTTTTTAACAAAACAAACCATTACTTTAATAAATGATGCCTATCAATAAATCTGTGTTTAACTACCTACCTGCAAACTATGTGCTTATCTAATAAATTACCTAATTAAGTTAGTAATTAGAATGACGAGAATTTGATGCGTGTTCAACTATGGCGTGTACAAACATTTGCGGGTCTAATTCATTTTAAAACCTAATCCGCTGGGCGAGGTTACATTAATGGAAAACATAATTAAGTATTATGTTTTAAAAAGATTTATTAGTGGCTAAAACCTAACTAATACGCTAGTAGTAAAATACGGTATTACGTAAATAAAAGTTCACGATAAAAGTACGCCTTTTTTCCTACGGCTCCGTCATACGTGGCTTGGCTGCTGAATCTGATAACATTTACAGCTTAGTGATTATCATTTTTCACTATGTCGGCCCTATGGTGTCTAAACAATAGAGGTGAACCAACGGTTCCCTAATAACTTATATCCAAGTACTGTGGCAATGGGTGATATGATGACCGGACATAAATTATACTAATTAACTATGGGGTGACCGATTCACGTTCCTGTGCTGTGACGCCACTGAATAGAACAATCCACAGGAAATTGGGAAAGCGGATACTAGATAAAGGTCGAACTAATTTTGTGGAAGCACTTCGGAGAATAGTGTTTTAATTGTTGTGATTTACAGCATTTCGTCGTAGAGTAGCTTCCGGATATAAAATACTCAATTTTAATATGTGAAAGCCCAGGATATCATTTATAAATAACATTAATGTTATCTACATTCATCAATAATGCATGCATGTTTAAAACTGCATCGTTCCTTAAAATGTCATTAGAATCAGTTATTTTTCTATTGTCTTAGATTTTCAGTAGCTTTACAAAACATTCAGCGTACAACGTGAATTGCATTCGTAAAGACCTTGGCAATAAAATCCATAATTCCTTCGGGTGTGTGCAAGCAAACGCAAGGCCCATGCCGTTTACCGTGACCGCACCACTGAGTAATTATTTGCCATAAAAGCCTGATGTCAGCTCTTAAAGGGCGCAAAACTACGTACCTATATGCATTACATAGCATAACGTCTGTGCATGGTGTAACCTCCAGCCGTTTCTTGGAAATTAAGTCATTTTATTGTAATATGAAAATTACGTCACTTCCTAGTTGTCTTTATTAAAACTCGTAGTTAGATATAGGTATCGGCACTAAATCCATTAACTACATCTTAAATAAGAATTACGTCATTGGACTCAGATAGTAGTACCTAGCTCATAAATAATAAATGTTTATTATTTTTTGTTTTTGTTTTAATTCTATTTTTAAAACTTTTAGCTGTCTAGTCAATGGTCAAAACTGGCTGTTTAGAATAGCGATTTTTTTTTACCAATTAGGCATAGACATTTATTATTGTGTACCTTTGTAGATGTAGGTATGTAAGTGTATCATACGTTTATGTACTCTTGAAATAAGTAGGTAGCCGGTATTTGCACCAGATTTAGATTTATCTATCGTGAATGTGTTAATATTTTATGATAACAGTGAGTCGCTGCGTCTCTTGTTCGAGTGTGTGACTACCTCATAACACGTTGTTAGGCTTATTTATTTGAACAACTCTGATAATGACATTGTTGAATTTGAATTTAAACGTTTCGTAGGTGTCGAAATGGTTTTCCTTTTATAGGTGTATACTTTTAAGTAGCTTTTAGTCATGAACTCAGAATACAAGTAAGTATCCAGGTACAATCTGTTTTATCATAAATAAAATTAGTAGATAATTTCGTATTCAGTATGTAAATAAAGTCAAGATATTGAATGACTGTGACCTAAAAACACTGATACAAATACAAATCAATATTTAAAGCATTTACCTCGAGTTGGTTTTTACGAGTTACACCGCGAGTACCCGTATTGGATGCCATTTGCACAGACAACATACAAACGGTTGAAGTTGGTAAATATTTTATTTTTCTTTTTTATTTATTAGTACTTTTATTTTGTGTGAGGGGAAAATATATCAAATTACTTCTCCCGCATAGGTAAGGCGAGAGGGAGTGTTAGACTCTTTCTGACTAAAAACCCCTCGTTCCTTCTCCTGCTCTAGGCCGGGTCCCTCAATGTCTCATCGCGCTTACCCCACAACCCCGTCTTAATACCTAGTCAAAATCTTGGTTTAGATCTGGCAAACTTATTCACATGGCGAAACATAACGCAAGCGTTGTTTCACGCCAGTGAGGCCATGGTATCACCCCGGTCGACCCGGGCTATTAGGTATGGTTGAAGAATATCTCCCACACACTTAAACTTATCGAATATATTTCTTTTTTGTCTTTCTGTAGAACTACGAAAATACCAAACGTTTATAAAATGAACTACAAGTTGTATTAAACGACTAGCTACAGCAATTTAGCCCTGTCCCTGTTAAACATGATAGAATGCGTATTTAAATACAGTTTATGGAATAGAATACATATCCATATTCTAATTAGCGGAGATTGTGTTTACGCTAGGCTGGACCCACTGACGGCTGCGTGCAGGTGTTAATAATTATTTACCATAGCGTCACGCATTGATTACTATGCTAATATTTGTACCACCATTGTCAATGTTAATGCCGGGCCCGGCTGAGCATGGGAGAATACTCGCCCGGTTCACCCAATAAGTACATTGTTCCTGAATATGACAGGAAGGGACACAATGAGCTACACTAACCCCGTTTCACGGTGGCCAGTTAGCCGAAAATGAGCTGCTCTCGGAAACAAGTGTGAACTGTCCTGGTTAGACAGGACGTGTCTGCGCACCGCCTCTGTCGGGTAGTCACCAAGTACCGTACCTCTAGTTAACATCAATCTGTTAAGGTCTCCTTTACAAGTTTGTGCAAGGATACGGAAGTGACAAGTTCGTCGATTGACGCCAAAGGATATTGTATAGGTACCTATATTTAAAAAGAATAACGTTCTTGTCTGTTGTGCGTGCCAAGCATAATGAAGGGGTTGCGTTAGCTTACAAACTTTCAAATTACAATATACTTCGCGATTTTGGCAGCGAATTACAATATCCATTTCCGCCATGACTGAGTGCATAAAATGGTTACGGATTTATGAAACGTGGTTAGGTTTATGATATCCAAATATTTGTTGCTAATGTGTGCTATAAATATTACTAGGTATCTAATCTCTTCCGGACAAAAAATCTACCGTCTGTTAGTATGAAATTGGTTTCCGGCTTGACTACTATTACTTAGGAGTTTTCAACTATAACTGTTCTGATATCTCCCCTGAATATAAACTAGGGCACATCCCGTAGTAGTTAGTTCAATGAGCCTTGTAAAGTAATGCCACAATGATATCAACCGTCCCTATCTAATCAACAGATGATTAACCATTGTCGATGGTCAAAACATCCACCCACTAATGGTGTAGGTACTGGAGATATCATTACAATAGTCTGAAAACAATATAACTGGTAGTTTGACGTCAGACAAAATTGATTTGAGGCTTGTAAATGAAAATTTATGTTTTTTCTATCACTTAGTATCGGTAGGCAGAATAATGATAGTGGAAGACTGGATAAGTGCGATCAGCCTTGAATATTCCAGAAACAAGAATTGTCATTATGATGGGTATCAGATATATGTTGTAGTAAAACACTGTGATTATAACGACACGACATGTCAGCATTCTGTATTGACACGGCCACGAAGACATTAGCTATTCAGGTTCAAGGTAACCATTACTAAACGTAACTTTCTGCAGCTTTTCAATTAATTTCCGTTGAAACGACATAACAAATGGCAACCTTCCTTTGTCACGAAACTGTTGGGTAAACATCGACGAACGTTATTTAGATATAAAAGAAGTTTTACGGCTATTACGAATGCAAGGATTCTTTTAAATGGAAATGATTCCTCGGGAAAATACACTTGTAACATTTAATCCATATAAAACCTCTTTTTGCTTGCAGCTTTTTACTTAGGTTAATAAACAGCCTCCTCAGAAGTGTTTAACTATCTTATTTAATTAATAAAGCCTTAGAGTTTGTTTGTTTGTTCGCTCTTATCTCCAGAACTACCAGTTTAAATCGAACAACTTATTTTGTTTAGGATATTCTATTTATCGAGGAAGGTTACCTATACTTTAGGACCAATAGAAAACTGCGCGGAAGATGATCTGGGGTGTGATTCTGTAAGACTTCATTCTAAATTTCGAATCTGAATCCGCTGTGAGTAATAGTACACTAGCGCTACACTTGCGAGTTGAACTAAATTGACAGCAACATTTTGATAGATAAAGTATGAGATGACGTTAAAAGTGGCATTCTAAAATTTAATTTCCCAGTCATTTCGACGCTCACTTCGCACTCGAACACGATTCAAAATCAAACAAATTTTATAGAATCGACGTGCTGTACACTGTATTACATTAGATTACATTATGTTATTTATAAACGTTTATAGAAAATTCTATTGTTCGATAACGATACGTATAAGTACTCGAGATTGTTTAATTAATTATTATTTTTTTAAATAAAGTCTACTCTGCTTCTGTCAGTGATAAGCGACTACTGACTACTGAAAGCCTAGTGGGAACTGAATGAGGTCATGGTGAGCGAGTTGAATGTGAATGTGACACTTTTTAGATAACTTGCTATATGTATGTCATGTCACTGTTTATTTACACACGTCACATTGTTTTTTTTGTCCGAGTGGGGATAAGGCATTCTGCCACGTGATATTTTTTATTTTCAGAATTTAATTTTTAAGATTTTGTTGTTTGTGTAACTCTGTGT